TTTTATCTAATATTATTCAAAATCTATTTAAAATATTCATATACTCAACAGTGTATCGAAAAAGAAACTTGAAAATGTCATGGAAATTAAATGTTTGGTTAAAGTACCTGCCTTCAGTTAATTATTAACCATCAACACAAACTGACGGAGTTACAATAAAAAATTTATTACGACATACACAAAATAAGAAAGTAATAAAACCAAAATACATAAACAAATAAAACTTCTATCATAAAAAAAAATGGAAAGTGAAGTTATGTTTACATTTGTTTATTGGGAGACACAGACAAAATCATCAAGCATCCTTGCCTCAACTAATGTAAGAGTTGAAGGCTCTACAACATCCGCTAGATGGGGTAAAAAGTGGTTTCCTGTAACCGTGCTACGTACCAGTGGTGAGTGCCGTTCATTTATAAAAAAATAATTACAACCAGCTAAAAAGTAAACATACTACTCGGATCACGTAGTCAGACATCAGGTATTATATCACCTCTTACGTTAAACGTAGCAAACACTTCTCGGGCACTTTCTACGCACTATTGGTAAGAACATAGCAGCTACAGGAATAAGCGCGCGGTGGGCAGGGCAGTGGGTCAGTCGGCTAGGTCGTGGAACGGATATTTTACATGTAACATAATAAGTAAGTTACCTCAGGTAACTTACCAACCACGGCTCGTGGATCGGCACGCGGGAGACCATGGTTTGATTTCCGACCAATGCAACTTCTCGGGCAAGTGCCTCTGGGTCCGTACAACAACCTGGGGCGCTTACTGACAACTTTGTTTACTAATTAAAAAAACAAACTAACACAATCGCCAATCCCCACACAACCCTGGGCGCTTACTGGCCGCTTTGTTTATTAAATAAATAAATAAAATAACACAAGCGCCAATCCCCACACAATTCGGGGCGCTTACTGGCCACTTTGTTTATTGGTTAAATAAATAAAATATCACAAGCACCAATACCCACACAACCCGTGGCGCTCACTGGCCGCTTTGTTTATTAATTAAATAAATAAACTAACACAAGCGCCAATCCCCACACAACCCGGGGCGCTTACTGGCCGCTTTGTTAAGTAATATAATAAGTAAAATAACGCAAGCGCCAATCCCCACACAACCCGGGGCGCTTACTGGCCGCTTTGTTTATTAATTAAATAAATAAAATAACACAAGCGCCAATCCCCACACAACCCGTGGCGCTCACTGGCCACTTTGTTTATTGATTATATAAATAAAATATCACAAGCCCCAATACCCACACAACCCGTGGCGCTTACTGACAGCTTTGTTTACTAATTAAATAAATAAAATAACACAAGCGCCATTTTCATATCAGTTAGCTGTTTTTCGTACCAGAGTGCAGTCATGATCGTCCACGACCCACGATCAGCCATAAATTATATCCATGTGAGTACGAATTACATTTTGGCTTTTGGTTTGCACTAGTAGTTATTTCCGGGGCACTTTGTGGGTATTTTCCGGGCACTTTTGGTGAGTACTTGGTGAGTACTACGGACTTGGTAGGTACTTGGCGGACACATCCTATGCAGTTGAAAGGTACTTCCTGGCTACTTGACATGCATTAGTGACTAGTTCCAGGGAATTTGGAGAGTACTTTTTTGGTACTTGGTAGGCATGTAGCGGTCACTTGGCAGGCGCTTGTTTCTCATTTTGCGAGTATTCAATGGGCGTTTGGCAGATATTTGGTGTATACTTTCCGATTACTTGGCNTGTAATTTGATACTATTATCCCAAACAACATATCGAAATTTCAAAAATTTTCATCATAAAAAATTATCACTACCGAACCTCCTTAATACTCCAGTGTTCTGATTTAGTGAGGAGCCACCTTAAAACTCATAGTTGGTATTGCCGCAAAATTAAACAGATTGTATTCTTATTTTCAATTCGAGTCGTAAAATAGTCGTTTGATGAAATAATCGTAATGCTTTCAAAAAACAATAACCCTCGTCATGATGTAAAAATACAAGGTGTGGCGTTCTGAGGTCTCATTTTCGTGCCGTTCTGCGCGTTCTATCACGACGCCATATTTGAGAGAGATAAGTCTACTGCAACGCCAAAAAGCCTATCCAAAGAAACGAAGTGGCTAAAGTTGAAACTAAAACCTATCCCCCGCAGTAATCCCGAAGTGAGACATATATAAAGATATAGACATACGTATAAATACACGTCAATTGATATATGTTTACCTATTCAGTCAGTTTTTTCTGTGTAAATATTCATGAATTGTACGTTTGGTCACTGAAACAACTGGAATGAAAGTATTGAAATAAAAAATATATATTGTTTTACGAGTTTCTTGATGGTAATATGCTTCATATTTTAAAAGCTTTTGAAATTCGCAGTCAGACATAGTGACGTGATGGAAACGTTCCTAATTGGTCAATCAAAATGGATGCGCAACGCCACACCTTATATTTTTACATCATGGCCCTTGCGACAAAGCAGAGTCGAGCACACGCAAGCAGAAGCATGGCTGTGGTAAATCCTTAAGTTTACGTGCGCGAGTCTGTGAGTGTGCTCGACACGATCGGGCAGGGCAGAGATTAGTAGAGACTTGTGAAGTTGGCGCCGAAACATCGGCACACGGCACACTCGCACACTCTTTAGCACATAGCATATAACAAGAACATAAAGGTATAAGAATAGAGGAGAAAAGGGGACGTGATATGCGACAGCAGAATTTGCTTCGTTTACCCTTTAGGGGCATCTATCTTTGTCTGGCAGTCATTTTGTTGGTCGAGTTCTACATGAGATTGAATCAACTGTAGAATTCCGGACGAAAAAGTAGCCAGTAACGTGGCTTTGGCAACAAAGACAGATGCCCCGCTACACTTAATTATGCTGTCGCTGCCGCTAATGGGCTAGTATAGCGCTTTTCCCCTCTATTCTTATACCTTCATGAAAAAAAATAGACTGCTCGTTCTTATGTATGGTGTTGAAGGACAAGTAGATTGATATACAACATCGAACGTGGATATCTGTCTCTCTTGCACATTTCGAGAGGTGCGAATGTGTAAGAGAGACATATTTCTACGTTCGATGTGGTGTCTTCTACTTATGCGTCAGCGCCGTCTATAAGAACGAGCAGTCTATTTTTCTTATGTCTATGCTTTAGCATAAGTACTGGCAATTTCCCTACATCTCTGCTCGAGTTCAGATAAAATACGCTAGGGGCGCTAGGAGTCGTTTTACATCTCAAGTAGGACAGGTCTCAAGACAGGTGCTAGGTGGTCCCATGTAGGTATAGTTTTTTGAAATTATTTCCACTGATTCATTTAAGATTTAACAGATGACGAAATGAGAAACGAGGACTGAATATATAATTATATATACTACAAGTTCACTAATATTGACGGAAAATATAACATATATAGTTATACTACTAGTTTAGGTGAACAACCGTAAAATACAAGCGAAAGTTACAGTGTGTCGTTTGCTTCAAAAAGACTTATTTACATCACAAACCAATTAAGGACGTTTATTACACTTAGAGGGGGAATGTAGTGAGTACAGTGAGAGGAGAGCGCGCGAGTAGTGAGCTTCGAGGGAATAAGAGAAGACAATGTCCGCTATTTGAAGCTCATGGGGAAAGGCGTAAATTTAAAAACGCAACATTTATTACATATGTACGTCACAATGTACGTATACGTGTATGGATATATTATACATAAATACAAGTATCTAACTAAAGTCTCCATAAGCCTCAAATGGTGGCTTACCAATTAGTAGCGGTCCCAACCATAGAGGTATTTGATTCTAATATCTCTATGGTACCAACCAGTGCTCCCCAGTGCTCCCAAAAGTGGCATCCAAAGTAGTGCGAAATTCAAATTGGCTATATGGAGCAAAACGCAAAATCCCACATAACTCAACAGAATTATCTAAAATAATAAATAAATAAACCCCAAGCTATTAAACACAAAAACCCAATGCTAATTAACCCAGTAACACGGAATGCCTACTGGCCACTTTTAAATTTGATGCCTTAAATAATAACAAAAGCGCCAATCACCACACAATCCGGAGCGCTTACTGGCCGCTTTGTTAATTGATATAATAAACAGAATAACGAAAGCGCCAATCACCACACAACCCAAGGCGCTTACTGGCCCATTTGTTTATTAATAGTATACGTAAAATAACAAAAGCGCCAATCGACACAAACCCGGGGCACTCACAGAGCGCTTTGTTACTTAATATGATAAATAAAATAACACAAGCGCCAATCCCCACACAACCCGTGGCGCTCACTGGCCACTTTGTTTATTGATTATATAAATAAAATATCACAAGCCCCAATACCCACACAACCCGTGGCGCTTACTGACAGCTTTGTTTACTAATTAAATAAATAAAATAACACAAGCGCCATTTTCATATCAGTTAGCTGTTTTTCGTACCAGAGTGCAGTCATGATCGTCCACGACCCACGATCAGCCATAAATTATATCCATGTGAGTACGAATTACATTTTGGCTTTTGGTTTGCACTAGTAGTTATTTCCGGGGCACTTTGTGGGTACTTTCCGGGCACTTTTGGTGAGTACTTGGTGAGTACTACGGACTTGGTAGGTACTTGGCGGACACATCCTATGCAGTTGAAAGGTACTTCCTGGCTACTTGACATGCATTAGTGACTAGTTCCAGGGAATTTGGAGAGTACTTTTTTGGTACTTGGTAGGCATGTAGCGGTCACTTGGCAGGCGCTTGTTTCTCATTTTGCGAGTATTCAATGGGCGTTTGGCAGATATTTGGTGTATACTTTCCGATTACTTGGCGGCTATTTGGCAGGCACTTTGTAGACACTTGAATTGAATTGAATTTTATTGTATTGGATATCGCTGACAATATGCAGGAGCGCGGTATGAGCAGAGTGGTGCCCCCTGAATCCCGATTGGAAGGGGTCCAGAAAATCAGCACGCCTGATAAACTGGTGGAGCATCTGCTCAGCTGCCACCGATTCAAATATTTTTTAAGCAGCTGAGAGTATACTAATAGGCCGTAAATGGCTCATCTCGGTAGGCAGCTTACGCTTAGGTATAGCACGAACGAGAGCCAGCTTCCACGCTTCAGGAAACCTGCAAGATTGCAGCGAGCAGTCAAAGATGTGGGTCAGTACATGCAGTATCGTTAGAAGGCAGTGCTTCAAGTAGCGAACAGGGACATCATCGGACCCGATTGCGTTTGACTTCGCCGAGTTAATTGCCCTCAAGACACTTTCTGGTGAGACGTGAACAAAATAAAAGCGGTCGTCAGGTGGAATTTGCGCAAATGGACGGGCATCAGTCAGCGGCACGCTGCAGCCCAGGCCCACGAAGTGCTTATTGAGCTCGTCGCAGCTCGCCGGCAGGGTGACAGAGCTCCTATCCTTCGAAGAGGCTCCCATCTCGCTCACACACCTCCACATCTCAGTGGAGCTCCTGGAGTTCACCAGCCTCGCCGAATATTAAGAAGATATGGCATCACGTGTTTTAAGCTTTACCTCATTTCTGAGTCGCTTATAGGCAGAGTAGTCAGATACTCTCCTGTATCGCCTGTAGGTGCTCCAAGCTCTATTACGAGCTCGTATTAGGGATCGCAGTGCGCCAGACAGCCAAGGTGAGCGCTTGTTTTTCGGGTATAATCTTCTGTAGGGCGCGTGGACATCATATAACTGCAACAGCGACTCTGTTAGGAATTCGACTTTGTGATCAACGTTTACGCGGCGGTGCAACTCATTCCAATCAATGTCGTGAAAGTAACGCTGAAAATTATCCATATTGAACTCGCGAAATGAGCATCGGGTGATTAGTTGCCGAGTAATTTGAGGTACTTCAAGCGACAATGAGACCAGCAGCAAGTCATGTTTGGAGATTGCAGGGTAAAATACCTGCGCTCGACTGTTAACACGTTCAATATCGCTAACACAAATGTAATCTACAGTAGAGTGAGACTCTCTGACGTGATGAGTAGGTGAATATTGCAGCGGCTCAAGGCCACAAGCAGCTAAGGAACTGCGCAGAATACGGCGAGTAGTAGTATTGGATGTCCAGTTGATGTTAAAATCTCATACTAATACAGCCGACTCGTAGGCTACATTACAATTCATCAGCGCATCCTCAACACCCGACCAGTGGCCACACTTTGGGGGGAGGGAATATACCACTCCTAGTAGAACCTTAGCACAGCGCAGCTGAAGCGTGACAAATAGGTACTCAGGTCTTTTGGTATACGTATCCGAGTAAGTCTAATGACAGACAACTCTACATGGGATCGACTCATGTACATTTAGGGCGACACCACCACCTATCTTACCCACACGATCAGCTCGGAGCAAGACACTTTGTAGACACTTGGTAGGTGGATAGCAGGCACTTAGCAGGTACTTCGTGGACCTATCACACACACTTGGTAGATCCTTCGTGAGCACATAGTGTGTTATTTTGTTTTTTTATAATTTTCATGGTTATAATTTTTTATGTTCGAAATAAAAAATCTCATATGTCACAATTATTAATTTTCTTACGCAGATGATGTGTCGTATCTGGAACGCCTTGTTGTCTTGCCCAATGGAGCTTGCGTAGATCCAGAATTGTTTGGCAAAGGTTGGTGGCGATTAAATGTTATATTGATTGAACCATCTTAAAGTTATTATGTCAATTGTTCGTTCGTATAGGTTTTATGTCTCTTAAAGAATTGCCAGTTGTAGAGGTTCCGATGGAAGATATATCAACTCAAAGTAATGATTTTATTTACTCAAGTTATATTAATTCATAAAATAACTGTACAAAATAAATACCGAACAACACGATATTTAACAGTTCAAAAAACTGAAGTAAAGTGGGATATGTGTTTCTTTCATATTTTTTTTTTACTGTCGGTGGTTTATTATAAAATACAAATATCATTTATTCAATTTGCCTTAATAGTAAAATCCATGCCATTTGATTATCAATACTTATGTTTTAATCTGTGTTTCGGTATTTAAAGATATAATATTTAAAAAAAAATTTTTTGTCTCAATACTGTTAAAAATTATATAATTACCGTACATTTCAGTATTATCTGTAAAAATTGTAATAGTACTTATTAATATGTGCACCTATTTGGATCTTATAATAGCTTGTTTTTATGAGTCATTTAACATTTTTTTATCGACAACATCGTAAATCATTACGAGCAAAGTATCTTACATGCTAATTTTTTTAAAGCAATTGTTTTTAGTTATAAAAGGCCACAATATTTATTTTTCCGCCCT